GGGAATGGGGAGCGAATGAAGATTGATAATTTTGATGACCTTGTTGAGGTATTTCTTGATTATCGTATTGAAATTCTGGCCAAGTGTTTTAACCCTTGGACTGGATGGAAACATTGGTTGGAGTCAACGATAGGTTTGCTTGAGGATCCACAGGAAAAGTACTCAACAAGGGATGATGAGAATGATTTTCAGACCTTTGAGGAGTTTGTGAAGGAAGAACTTAATTCAATTGGTGAGCATGTGGAGTTTTGCATGGTAAATTTGTACACTCACTTACCAACTTCTTGCATTTCACTAAAGGTTGTGACGGACATGATTGGAGCTTTGGATTTGCTCAATTCTCTTAAATCTTTACTGCGTGAGGTTGGTTTTGCTAATGAAAGGTCACAATTAGTTCTAAAAGATTGTCTTCATAAACTGAGGTCACTTCGTAAATTTTCTGTTCCTAATTTAAAAAATTTGGAGAAAATAAGGAAATTCTGCTTGGCAAATGCTTCCTTAATATTTTGCACCGTGTCAAGCTCTGCTAAATTGCAGACGGAGAAAAAGGCACCCCTGGATTTGTTAGTGATTGATGAAGCTGCTCAGCTTAAAGAATGTGAATCAGCAATTCCTTTTCAACTACCTGGTCTTCGCCATGCTGTTCTCATAGGAGATGAGAGGCAACTCCCTGCTATGGTTAAAAGCAAGGTTTCATTTTGTCCTTTGTGCTGTATAGTTTAAAAAGTTTGTAAAGCTTTTATGTTTTATGTGAATTTTGAACAATGCACTTTCAGATCACCGAGAAGGCTGGTTTTGGAAGAAGTTTGTTCGAAAGACTTCTACTGTTGGGACATGAAAGGCACCTTCTCAATGTCCAGTATAGAATGCATCCATCAATCAGCTTATTCCCAAAAAGGGAGTTTTACAACAACCGGATATTAGACGGTCCAAATGTCAAGCAAGGAAGCTATGAGAAGTGCTTTCTTTCAGGAAAAATGTACGGATGCTACTCCTTTATAGATGTAG